TACTTCAGGTGCCAATGCAGGCCAACCCTAAAGCGAAATTTTGCATTTTGACGGGGAGAATTACATATAGAACATGCTTGTATTATTGTTTAAGGTAGTCAGAATACTCTGAACTTTGTTGGTGTCTTCATCAACTAGGGCTATGTTATAGGCATATTCTAAGTCAACAAGCGAGTCGAATGTGGACAACCCTATCGAACACCACTTGAAGTAACCGGTTCTGATGACAGTTTCCCATAAGCTCAGACTCGACCAGTAGTGTTCGAGTCGAGAGCTTGTATAAGGTTACTGCACTCTTCTGGTACTCCTTTCAGTGACAGCCACTGCCACAGAACTTCACGATCGACAGAAACAAATGCCGCCTTAAGGTTGAGAAGTACTACTATCGTGGTATGTCTGAACGTGTATCTATGTTCTAGGACCCGATTAAGAGTGAATATGTGCTCTATATAGCCACATCCAAATCTGAAATCAACCTGGTCTCTAGTTTTCTCTTCACGAGCTTTAGTTAGGCATTTAAGTATTATCGAGGCTAACAGTTTAGACACTATATTAGTTAAACTGATTCTTCTGTGATTGTTACAAGAGGACTTTTGTTCTTTCTTATAAATTGGGACAATCAGATTGAGACCAGTCAGATGGGATTGTGTCCAGTTCCCAAATTCTACCTAAGATCTCAGTCAATCTAACTGCTAAACTGGACCACCATCCTTAAAAATCTCACGGGTTAGCTTATCAGGGTCTGCTCTAAAGTTATAGGATACTAGACCTAGGAAGTTGCTTGTATTTGTAATCGAATAATAAGCTCAGTGTATGAAATGACATTTGCTCCACGTGACTATGGTAATCACTGACTATCCTGAATACTACACCTCACCGGGTCTCATCTCACTATACGCCTGTATTTAGTGAGACTATTATCAAAAGAGCACATGGAGCCATATACTAAACCCAAAATAACTATACTTAGTCATGTGTTTTTCACTGTGGTCATAGTTGAATCAAAATTTCGTAACTAAAATTAATAATCTAAGCAACACCTTAAGTATAACTCTTTTTTAAATTCCTCTTTATCAGTATGATTCAGTAAGCTGATATTATTTAACGGCTGAAAACCAAACAATTCAGTATTTAAACTATAATAACTAGCATTGAATATGTATTATTTTGGAAGTTCAAATGAAAAAAATGAATACAGCCTTCAACTGATTCAATTTTTATGTTTCCAGGGAATCAACATCATACCAACAAAAATCAATCTTTATAATACACTCATTTAATAAATATATGCTACTGTACTCAACTTAGTCACATTACTCGTTTGGAGGTTATTGATACTACCAGTTTGTCAGAACCAAGTAGGTTTTCCCAAGGTTCGAGCATTCAATCTAATGGCTGAAATCTGAGTTCTTCCTTTACCAAACCATCACTTTGTTTTGGTAAAATAAAATGTATGAAACCAACCATAAATAAACAGATTTGGTCCCAAAATACTGATTCTTCGTTCAGAAACTAGTAACAGTAGCGATTAACGTTTTTCATTGTGTGCAAATTTATTCCGTCGAGTTATATTTTTATAAATAGTTCTTTTTTGATAAGTTATTGAAGTACATTAATGTGATCAAAAGCATCCTTTGATGACACTTTTAATCACAAAATCTGATATCGTATAGGTGAACTACTGAAAACGTAGAACCACAAAACAGCTTTGTTTACAGCTTGTAAATGATACGCATTTACGATTCCAGACGAAATCAAAATCAAGACATCCAAACATTTTGATGAACTTGATATTCCAGTCATCCGAAATTTTCACTCCAAACAATTTGCATTCACCAAAATAATATGTATGCTGTTGTTGTCGGTGCGCTGTTATAAAGTCTCAAACTAGTATGAAACAGCTATCCATTATGCAAATATATTCAACCATATTATTTTTTGTATTTGTTTTCTTAATTCTTATTATATTCTACAAACTGTTTTCATATGATCATGTCATCAAAGTAATCTATTCAAATTAATATGTTGTCATTGATTAGTAAGCATTTAAAAAATAGGCTTTTTCTCTTTAATGGGTAATAGATTTATTACTAATTCAAAAAATGTAAGGGCGAAATAAAAACTTTTGCATTAATTGATTATTAAGTAGTGGCCAAATTTATATTTCCTTAGTTTTTAGTGCCAATAAAACTCTATCAATCAATTTGCAATATGGTCGCTAGTCTAAGTGGCTTGACATTGCGTGTACCATATCTTGATGTTGGGTGCTTGGATGTAGTTGCCAGAATACCCTGAATTTAGATTTCATATTAGTTGACACTCGTCAGTAATGTGTACCTATCTTAATCCATAGAATTCTATCATCATTAAGGACTAAGCAAACATGACACTGGCGATTATTCAATGATCAATCATTGCAATCATCTCAATTCCACAAAAAGTCAGTCACTGTGAAACTAGATGACTTTGGTTCGAATCCTACAGTAAACATCATCGTCCTCATAACTCCAGGTATATCGTGTTCACGAAAACCAACCAACACACGAAACTTATATTTTTCTGTTGACTGCTTTCAACCGTCTAACATCAGATTATTTTCCTTTAAACATTATCATTTTCTAGTCCTCTATTTACTTAAGATATATAACGATCTTTTGGAAAATACACTAACACAGGAAAATCATCGAAAATGACTATCCTACGACGTTGACAATCACAACAATCGAAAAAGTTCCCTACAGTCCTTTACTAGTCTATTTATGAACAACGTATGCTTCTGCTGAGATGCTGGAGATAAAATCATTTACTGTAGCTTTGTCCCCTGGATGGTTTTGAATTTCATATTGGCTTCTCTTGTCGACTTCTGATTCGTGGCCGGCTTTTCCTAACTATATCTTCATGCGTTACTGTTCCTGACTGTTGAAAGAAGCCTAATTCTGGTCTTTTAAATTCATCTATGAAGTGGAAACTTGTACACAGGCTTCAAGAATTTATCGACCTAAGCAGCGTGAATAATTTCTTATTCTGTCATGATCTTAGCCTTCTTCCTTATAAACAGAGGTGGATAGTGGCTAGCAGTAGAATCCAGGACGCGTATTTTTCCGTTATAACTGGTTCACGATAGATAAAATTTCAGTAAAACAAACTATGCATTATATACTCTGTATCGTAGTGCAGAAATATGAAAATTTTGTTTCTACACTAGAGAATAGAGCATATAATGCATCGTTTGTTTTAGTGAAATAAAGCTTTTTCGAATACCTAAAAACTGCATTCATTACCTACCAGGTCGGTTTATGTTTTAATCGTCCGTTTCAATGGAATCACTTATACTTTGATATGAACCGTTCTTCTAGAGTTTAAGCCAAAAGATATGATTAGTAAACATAGTATCGTATGATTTCTTACTAATTATTCTTCTGGTCAATATTCATAAGCTTTTGATGCCGTTCTTTATTGCATTAGCTGTTATCCAAATAATAACAAATTGTTTTAAATAAGCAAAAACTTTTCTGATAAAATATAAATAGTTTATTTTGTAATTGAATAAACTATTTATATATTTTGTCATTCATTCTATGATCTCTATTAGTGTTTAACAAAAAGATCAAACGTATCGTTTGAATTTGTGTAGTTATTTTTGTTGACAACTATTTTCTTAAAAGCATAATTCTATTGAACGTTTTTTATGATATACAAGAATTGCTATTAAAAAACTTGTACGTATTAACCACTTTCGCTCATAAAATATAGTCTAATTTCCCAACCATATTATTTTCTCTCAATATAAACTAAAATTCCAACTCAAAACCTTCAATCTTGTGTGCGGACGCCTAACCACTGGACTGATATCTAAAGGGTTGTTAATGTCTAACTTCTATCAGTTCACGGTCTTGTGTAACCTCACCTACTGTCTTCAGTGAGCAGTTATGTGGTCCAGAGGTTAGGCGTCCGCGCGCAAGATCGAAGTTCCCGGAGTCGAATCTTGCGAGTTGCAGGAGCTTCGGATGCGCAGTGCTGATGAGTATCATACAAGGACCAAATTTCCGTCCAGTGCTTTCAGGTTTCTAATGGTGGTCTAAAGTTGATCGAATCATAATTTCAAATATATATAACAACCATCTATTGTTTTACACTTTTATCTTATCTTAACTGTTCATATCAGTACAACTGTTTTTGTGCAATGTGATTACTCGTATAACCGAAATACTATCTATTTCCTGATAAGATATTTGTTATATAGCATTCTGATTGACGGGTTACTTGTGGTTACCTCTCATGGTAGAATAATTCATGTGTATTTAAACAATACTATATGACTAAAAATAAGTTTATATAACAATAAGATTCTGAAACCCGATTTTTGAGAGTTCTGTATTAAATTCAACTTAGCTGAGTTTAAAAAGCACTGGGCCATAATGTGTGAACTAATGCAAAATAATTGAAGATCATTTAACTGCAACAAAACTGAATCGTCACTTTTTATATTCACTCGTTCATTACTACCCTTTTTCATTATTTAATTCTTCTGGTATCTAGAAAAAGCATTATCCACTTCCAACTAATCTACTTAACACTAGTTAGTTTTAGAAAAATGGCTTCTGTTAAATGATTCCTATCCATACTACTACTGCTGACTTCCCTATGTTTTTAGTCTTGTATGTTGATTGAGTGTTTTTTTTTCTTGTTTTAACTTTTAAGTAAATTGGTTTGTAACCAAAAAAGTAGTTATTGTCATTGGTGATCTAGGAGTTTTCGTGGTCAACGTCTTGAATGGTTTCTTAGTGTTCCTGATTAAGCCATTATTAAATAAATTTCTCATATCTGTATCAATATTCGAAAGACTTAATGACGTAGATTGTATATTTAACGCACGTATACATATAACCTGAGAATGAGCGTATTTTTTTCTGACCATTCATGTATACGTATTTACCGAATATGTTTAATTCGGTCGCATAAGTGCTTTATTCTTAATCAATTATTGATATTCATTGCAGATGAACGTGTTGGCAATCTACTATTTATCACACAAGATCCTGAAACTACATCACATGTAAAATCACAAGTGAAATTATTAATTCGTCAAACTTGGTCTAACCCACCACAACATGGTGCATTAATAGTTGCTACTATACTAAATAATCTTTCACTTTTCAATGAATGGTAAGTGTATGTGAACATCTTTTTTCTCATAGATAATAGTTAATTTTATAATCAACATCAAGGATTAACTTTAGTTAGACAACCATTGATAACCAAGAAGCACTGGGGATTTCGCAGTCTAATCCATCATAAGAATTCCGTATGATGTTGACTATCTTCTCAGGCACCTCGTAGTATCGAAGATGCTTCCATAGTGTTGTCCTATCCACACTATCAAACGCTTTCCCGTATTCATTGAAGTTGATGTAGAGTGGTGAGTTCCACTCAATTGATTGTTCCACAATGATCCGTAATTTTGCAATTTGGTCGGTACACGCTCGATCCTACAAAATACAGCCTGTCGACCTCAAAGTTGGGCGTCTACGAAGTCCTTCATTCTGTTTAACAGTACCCTGTTGAAGACTTTGCCTGGTATTGAGAGAAGAGTGATGCCTCTGTAATTCTCACACTTGCTGAGATCGTCTTTTTTTGGTATTTTGATGAGGTATCCTTCTTTCCAGTCTGATGGTACTTGTTCTTCATCCAAAATCTTGTTGAAGAGAATGTGAAATATTTTTGCAATTGCTTCCTTGTCTGCTTTCATTGCCTCTGCTGGAATGTTGTCTAGTCCCGCTGCTTCGTCGCTCTTGATTTGTCTGATGGCCATGCCGATCTCTTCAATTGTTGATGGGCCAACATCGATTGAGGAGTCCAATCAATCAGTAGCAACGTAGAACTTCGTACGAACGTACGTACGTACATCAGTTCATGTTGCTATACCATATTAGCACAGAGATTTAATTGTCAATTCAAATCCCATATTAGTAGAGGTAGTAGGAGTATTAGCAGTAATCGCAGAGATACGGGTTTGAAGATATTATTCAAGAAGTAGAATCTAGTGAAACGTATTAAAAAAGATAAAGATAAAGTGATGAGGAATTAAAAAGTTTAGGATTTGAAAGAACTCAAAGAATCGATGAACGTGCGCTATTGCAAACGGTTTTGAGCCATGCCATTCACGGTCTCTAACCATCGATTACTAACATCTCGCGGGTCCCAATCAGGTAGTCGACACCTACCGACATGACTCAGTCCACTTGTCAGTGACTTCATGGATTTCTGCCATGATTTGGTCTGGCCGCTCCTAGCTTTCTTCCAACCTCTTCCTACACCGCAAAACATAGCTCGACGAGGCAGTCGGTGGTTCGTCATTCGCAACACATGTGCCGACTACCTCAACTGATGAGGTTTCAATACTTCATCTATTGACCTGCCATCCTTACTTAGTGCCCGTTTCCTAACAACTGCATTGCTTACTCGGTCGCCCAAGGATACACGAGCAATTCTTCGGAGACACCTATAGTCGAAAACCAGTAACATACGAATATCTTCTACTCTCACTGACCATGTTTCACAACCATAAAGTAGGATATAGCGAACTACTGCGCAGTACACTCGTCATTTAGTCAGCAAATGGATATCTCGCCTACGCCATAAGTGACACAGGTTGGTAAACGTCAATCGAGCTTTCTGAATCCGTGCTGAGATTTCGTCACCATTCCATTAGCCGTTAAGACATTCGTAGGTTACTAGTCTTCGATCATCGGTGTCTCCGAAGCATTGCTCGTGTATCCTTGGACGACCGAGTAAGCAATGCTATCGTTAAGAAACAATTTCTAGGTAGGGTTGGCAAATCAATAGATGAAGCATTGAAACTTCATCAGTTGAGGTGGTTGGGACATGTGTTACGTATGCTTAACCACCGACAGCCTCGACGAGCTATGTTTTGTGGTGTAGGAGTAGATTGGAAGAAAACTAGGGGCGGCCAAACCAAAACATGCCACAAATCCATGAAGTCACTGACAAGTGGACTGAGTCATGTTATTATATGTAGACTACCTGGTTGGGGTCCGCGAGACAAAAGTCACCAATGGTTAGAGACCTTGAACGACATGGGTCAGAATCGTTTGCAATGGCGCAGGTGCATCCACTCTTTGTGTGCTTTTTAATTCTAACCTTCTGAATTCCTTATAATCTATATCTTTCTCCTTCTAAATTTATCTCACTGAATTATACTTTTCGAATCATATCTTTGCTCCCTGATTTTCTCCATTGCTGCTAATAATTCTACTATCTCTATCACTCTTGGATTTGAATTGACAGTTGCGTCTCTGTGCTGACGTGGTATGGCAACCTGAACTGACGTACTTATGTACGAAGTTCTGCATTGTATCTGTCTGTCTGTCCATTAGCACTGATGAGACTCCCGAGATAAGTGGAGCGGTTTACACGCTCGACTACTTCACTCCCTATCACTAGTTTAGGTACCGATGCAACTCACTCTTTTAGCAACATTTTGCATTTCGAGGGGGAAAACCGCATCCCGAACATGCTTGCATTGTTGCTTAGGATAGTCAGAAGACTGCATTTTGTCAGCATCTTCACCAAATAGAATTATGTCATCGGCATGTTCTAAGTCAACAAGCGACTTTCCTGGTAGAAGGTCCACTCCTGAAAATTCAGACGAAGGAGCATGTCTAGGACGAAATTAAATAGGAATGGGGTAAGTGGAATTGGAAGTCCGTGGATGCGGCTTTGGTTTTGGATGGGTTCGGTGGGGCTAGTTGTTTCAAGATTTCTTTAAAGTGACGTATCCACGTGTTTTCCTGTTCCTCAATGTTGTTGATTGCTTTACCTTCCTTGTTTTTCACTGGTCGTTCTGGTTTACGATAGTTTCCAGCGAGCCTCTTTGCTGTACCGTACAACTGTCTCATGTTTCCTTCTCTTGCAGCCTTTTCCGCCGTCACCGACAGATCTCCCACATATTTTCGTTTGTCAGCTCTGATGCTCTTCTTCACTTCCCTGTTTGCTTCTGTGTGTGCAGCTTGTGCCTTAACTTCCTCTGCTCTTGTTCGGCTGACGTTGATTGCTTTCTTCTTGTTCCTCCTTTCTTCAATTTTTTCAAGAGTACCAACAGAGATCCATTCCTTGTGATGGTACTTCTTGTGACCCAGAACCTAGTGACATGTTGAAGTAGTTGCCTCCTTGGTCTATTGCCGGTTGTTTCCTCTCCAATGAATAGATCTTGCAAAGCCTGGACCCTAAATGTGTTTTTGTGCTTGTTTGGACAGCATCGGTGCAACTCCGTGTGCATGTGAGGCATTTTCTTCATGGCCGGAGTATAACAGCAGCTTTCCTGAAGCTAGTCTTAGTTGTCCAACCTGCGTCCAATGTGTTTCACTGATTCCAAACACTTCTAGGTTGTATTTTTCATTTTTGCAGCAACTTGAATAACTCTTCCGGTCTCCCACTCTGTATGAACATTCCATTAACCTAAATTAAGGGTTGCCCTGGTTGTCAGAAGAGGCATCGGCCCCGTGACTTCTGAAGGAACTCAGCTTTCATCATGAAACGTCATAACTCTTCTGAAAGGAAGACCTAACTCCCAAGGCAGAGTTTAAAGTGGTTTGAATTATTTTTTCTGGTTAGCGGTTTTTAGCGAGTTATTTTTCTAGGGGATGCGGTCTCTGACCCCGTGCCTAACTCTCCTTCTTTATCTGAACTTGGGATCGGTAGTAGCCCTAGAAGGGCTCCAAGCCGAGATTTCTTCGTAATATATACCTTATAAGAGCTAAACTCTGATTTACTCATATTTGGTCGGTTAATTTCAGTCATCATTTAAGTTTATGATGATCTATACATCGAATTCATTTTTTCCATATTCCTTGCAAAAATGTTTCAACATTAGAGTAATTTTCAACTATGCTAATTTTAAACAAATACTTCAAACTATATTCCTTAGATATGTATACAGATTATTTCACTTCATTTTACAGTAACTTTCTCACTACTTATTAAGCTAATATATTATTTCGAAGACACCATGATTAGAGAGTTAAAACAAATATCCCATTGAAGACTACCATTTCGACAACATTCAAAAGTTGTACAAATGTACACATGTATGAAACAAATAATAATAATAATAACAATAATAATGCCGAATAGTTTTCATATGCATCTATATCGAAAGTGGAAATCATCAAATGGGAGGTAACACTAATGGGATAGACTAAATGAGTCATCAGACTGACTAGAAGTCCAAGGTCATATAAGAAATTGACGGTTAAAGACAACGTGAAACATTTTGCTGGGATTTTTATTGGTAGATAATTATAAAGATAACCATAAGCAGCTGTTGGTGTATGAATGAAGCCAATAGTGTTTTATGACTATAAAAATAGTTTATGAATACTCAAACCAGTTGTCATTTAGAGTTGTTAGTTTTGACTTGAAAAAACTACGTTGTACGAATGTTTCAGACTAAAGATCGGTCTTCTATTGGATTAGCCATTATAAATGTAATTTTCGATAAACATGGTTTGTGATTATCGTATATAATAAAATTACTCAAGCGTATGTAGACTTCGAGAGCTTCACCAGATATGAAATGAAACATGAAATTCATCTCACACGGATAATTAATATAGTTCGAATAATATTTGCGGTAGTAAAATAAATCTTACCTTTTGATAATAAAATGAAATGTTACATAATTGTTACGAAGTTGTAGTTAGATGTAAAGGTGATATGAGGCTAATGACTTTCCTTTGTGTACGAACGTTACTAATCATGATTGAATAGATACATCGTGTACACCTGACCACGATAAAGTGAATACAGGTTATCATGTAGGTCAATTTGTTTTGTTTTACGCTATTAATGAAAGGGAATTCGTAAACAAAGGCATTACTTGAACTAGTATGACTTAAATCTCATCATTGCTTGTAGTTAAGTTAACACGAGTATTATCATCATTAATATTATTATGACTGAAATGATCATAGCTGTTATTTCAGGTTGTAAGAAATAAAAAAAGCACATTTATTTGATGTGACCTGTTTAATCATTATTCCGAAATTCTAAACTCAATATCAGTGTTTGTATTTTATGAAATCATGTGATGAATATTCGTTTTAAAGTATTTTAATCTTGTTAACAAAATTCAGCAACTTAGATACTATCATGTTTCAACAAATATCACCTGAATTATGCTAACCATCGACATTCTGAGGTTCATGAACAGAGTTTAGAAGCCTAGCTAAATAAAAGATTATTTATAATAAATCAATAAGAGTAAGTTATTATGTTGTTGATCAATACTCATCACAATGGAAACGCCTAATTACATTCTAAGATTAGTTGACCTAACAGTTCAGAGTAATAATTTTGTTTCCCAGTCAAAGTATTGTATAACGCTTTGGGATCCAAAATAAATAATGATTAAGATGGTAAATACGTGTAGAACATATATGATAATTTCAATTAAATCAAGTTTTCTGTTTCTTACGAAATTCGCCTGAAGTGATAAGTTTGTTTCCCATTCAGTTGATATTGCATGTACTATTGCAAAGCGAATAGATATCCTGCGATTGCACTTCTTAAGCGACTGTTCATTCTGCTCGCTTTACTAGAATTCATCTCCGAAAATGATTACCTTAAATATCTTCGTCAAATCACATTTACTAATTACTAGTAAATATGATTTCTTCAATTATTTTATATTAGAACAACACATACTATATATCAGATGAGTGTAAATAATTAAATGATGAAGAATAGAAATGGAAATAAGTGGAAAAATAACAAACAAATACCGGATGTGAAAATAATATTCATAGAAATAAAAAATTAAAATCGTGAATCGGTCATTGTTAGACCACCATTAGGAACCAGGAAACGCTGGACGACCGTATGGGACTCTTCAGAAGTGGATATTCACGAACCCACTCGTGGAATCGAACCTAGGACAGATATTTCGTGACTATTTATGATGTTTATCTAGCTTACTTTCGACTTGCAGGTTTCGACGGTTTCACTACCAAACTCACTATGATAAGAAGTGCGTAAATAAAAATAGTGGTTTATGTTTATTTACTTAAAATCAGTTTACATATATTCATTTTTCATTTTTCGTGAATTTCTCTCAGCTTCAAGAAAAAGGGAGACTATTAAATAATTCCATCAGGTGACTCTAGAGAGAGCCTTAGTTCGTCATTGTCTAATCGCACAAATAGACGAAATGACTAAAGTTACTACATCTCAAACATCTAAACCAATCACTAAAACCCTTTTCTTCTCTAATTGGTCGAAACAACTTGCACTCTGCACAAACTTGATTGTCACTATCATCTAATACTTCGCTGTAGACAATACCCATAATCTGCGATACATGCTTATGCAGTTACCAGTTTCATTATATTGCAAACAATAGGCTTTGAAACTGCAACGCGGTGACTGCATTCCAAACCGGAAACTTCAGTCACATTCCATGACTTTCATGAAAATGATATACCTCCCAGTGTGGTTTCGCATTGAAAGGCTAACGATTTGGTCAATGGAAATGCAAATATAATCTCTCATAAGTTGATAAGCATGAGGACTTACACGCCTTTGTAAGTCTGACGTACCTTGAGTATTAAGGATAATCACCTTAGGAACGTCTTTAAATAGTTTGTGATAGCTTTTGGCAGACTTTTGGCAGAAACTGATGAACTGAACAATTTAGAACGGATCACTCCCGATTTGTGCATCTTCATAACCGTGTGAGTTCATTTTATCCTTCGTCAATAGGTTGTTCTCTAGATAACGGAAAAAGGTGTGATTCTTCTGTTCAGTGAGACTAAAATACGAATGGAATCTGGAAATAATATTAATAGACTAACTATTACTTATAGCAACAGTCGAAATGTATTGGTTGACACAAAACCAAAGGCTTCTAGCATAGCCTTCTTGTACTTATTTAGTGCCACTGGTGTAGTGACATTTCCTTATAGTTTCCCTCAATTCCCATGATTTCTGTGAACTGACAAGCTACGTTCTGCAAATCACGTGTATAAACAGCAGCTAGCTGTTTACGTCGAGCTGCATCTTTGCTTCGCCTCCCAGTTAGACAACGTGTACTGCAAAAGTTTCAGAACGGCCTTGTAAATCAACATCAAGAAAATTATAAAACACCTGAAATTCTTGACTGTCTAAGAACACGGCAACGCATGCCGAAGATATCCTTTACGATGATTAGCTCCGTACGTTTCGCAAACAAAATCAGTAACAACAAACACTGCAACCCCTGACAGTTGCAATAGGTGAATGCTCTTAATTTGATCTTCTGATAGAAGCATGTGTTTTGTTCATGAAGAACGCGTCGGCAGTCGTGGCTATAAATCAGTCCATCCACCAGACGAAAACGGCAAGGGATAGACATCCACAACCAGTAGCTAGCCTGATTTAAAGTATACAGGATATTTGGAGGAACAAAGCTTCACATCGATGAAAATATGTTTAGCTGCTGACGATGACTTTTCATTCTGCATTCATATTTAATGATAAAATCTCTCTTTGCTATAGTTATCTCATATAATAAAATGACAGGAAGCTTGATTCCTGTAAAATATTAATTATCAGAATAATCTTCTTCATTTGGAAATCTAACACCAATGAGCATCTCTCGAAACTAATTATCAGCTTTACTATCCGATCTAAACATATGAAACGATGTTTCTTGCAATAAGATTTGTGAAATGCTGCTCCTTCGAATTTGACAGTTTTTATTTATCTGAAAGCAGGCTCTCCACTAGACAATTAGAAATATTATTTTGAGTAGTCGAAGGGTAATGAAGACATTGGTACACAGAAATATAATTTTCCACCCAAAAAATTTATTTCGCGTAAATGGTCCGTTGTTCGGCTCTCAATAGTTGTTTAGCTGAAATTGTTCCCTGATGCAAACTACTCATTTTTAGTCAAATAATTATCAGAATATCGAACTTTCAATCATGCCATAGAATCATTGCAGAAATAACTTGAATGCATCGTTATCAAACGAATAATATGCATTCGTACAAAATCTACTCCAATATTCAGCTATGGATTGTTGGATTTTTATTTATTTGATATGCTACCGATTCCGTCTCACTGCTAATTCCAGCGTATAGTTTTGTATGTTAGTTTGAGAGAAATGACGAATAGCATTCTTCCAGGTTGGAAAATCGGTTCAACGCACTGTCCTTATTTTTGAAAAATGCAAACTAATCAATCCAATCGGAGGTTGCACCGATTGTCATTGCCTGAGAATATAAGATTTGTTATGTTATTAGATTTCTAACATTCTTGAATAAATTAATGTATATTGAAAAGACAAAATTCATCAGAACTTTTCAGCGTATTAATAGAAAGCACTGTAACTAACAATCTGCCAATCACATAATAACTTGATAAAAAAAATTCCAATAAAAAATAACAAAGGTTCTTCGTTGACCTTTAATTTCCGTATAATGTCTTTCTATTTATGTTCTGGTTTATAATTGTATCAATAGTGATTGAATTGTTCACACTGTGTTTAATTCTTTCTTAACCAGCTATAAAATTGTCGATTGTCATGATGATTCTATTTGTCAATGTATTCACACCTCATTTTTTTTACGCAGTTCCTGATCTATTTGTACTATTGTAAAAAGTACGTAGACAAAAATAAAAAGGTCAATTCGACAAATTGAAGGTTAGAGGAAATAAACATAAAGGGAGTTTGAATCTTCGTATAGCAGTCTTCAAATACCTTAGTGTGTATACCTTTGAGTGTTTTTTTCAAAACCTACAAACGTTGAACTAAGATCAGTCTTATGACCTATTTGTTTCAATTGTATTTAGGAACAGAGGATGATAAATGTTTATGATAAAAAGATTATTATGAGAGTAGACAAAAATAGACATTCAGCCCCAGTCTTCGTATTGTTTTTAAACTTAGATATGAAAAAAGTTGGGAGTAAATTTAAAAATATATTTTCATAATTCTTGATTATCAACATCAAATTCTCCAATCTTCAATTAATTAAGCATTACATTTTCCATCTTTCTCGGAGTCACTCATTATTACATTCGTATCTTGATTTAGAATAACTGAAAGTCAACTTGACTCAAATTTAATCTTGTGTCCTGCAGAAGTTCATTTTTCATATACGCTAATCAAAATATTTCTGTCACTTTTCAATTTGATTTCCTATTTTGTTTGCCGAAGATGCGTTGAAGATGGTTAGACGATCTTCTCAGTCTGTACCAGAATCTTCAGTACTGCCACCGTGTTGTTATTTCTAAACGACTTGATCGATATTTTTTGCTAAATTTGCCGATCAGAGTTTCGACTGCAATTTTTTTTACCATACGTTTGCTATTCTACCTACGTCCTAGCACACTCAGCCTTGATCAATGATACATTTTGACAGAAACAATTAATATCGAGCTAACTCAAGCCTACCGGTCCTTCGACGCGCACGCCTTCTATCCACAGCCTAATACCCAAAGCGAAGATTCGAGTCATACTTCTATGATTATATTTCAACCAGCTTATATACCTGATAAACTGAACTGTCTTGCATAATAAAACAGATAATCATAGTTATACACAAACAAGCCAAAAATGCCTGTGGACCGGGAAGAAATGTAAATAATTTAAGAATAGTATAATGCACTAACCTTTTTTAATACACGTTCCCGTTTACCTATCTTTTTTGAATCTTCCTATCGGTGTTTAGAACTGCAAATGATCAGTCCACTCTAGCATATATACATCTTGTGCTGACCGCCTTGCTGTTGTCATTAAGTTACGAACCTTTTAAAACAGTTGAAAGGTGACTAGCAGTTTGATATAGGAGGCGCGTCTTATCCTATTTGGAACTTATCAGTTAGATGTGCCTGCATCCCAGAGTTGATGTTCACCCTGCGATTTCAACGCAGTACCTTTCTCCTCAAAAACCAACGCGTTATCTACCTAGCTACTTAGTTTAAAACGCTACTGACCTAGTTTGATTTATACCTAGAGAATTTCGAAAACTGAAGTTACTCGTGTTTATTCATCACAGCGTATTGATAGGATAACGTGTTCTCTGTAATTGTTTTGTGATTGAATTGTTTGTTTTTATTTCTCATTGTATTCTCTATGTAGGAAAGGCTGTGTGGTTACAATGGCCCAACGTATTCGTGAAATGAGGCAAGGACTTTATGATCGCTTGAGAAGTTTGGGAACACCAGGGAATTGGGAGCATATTATTAATCAAGTTGGCATGTTCTCATATACCGGTTTAACATGTAGGTGTGCAAGTTCATTAATTGTATGAATTATATAAATCTACTGAAACGCGTCACATACTTATTTCATGTTATAACTCTAACTACTTAATAATTGGTTTCAGTAGTATACCGTTGTATATTATTTTTATACCGGATATCACAGAAAAGTTTCAAATTTTTATAATGAATAAGAGAACAATATATATTTCCGTTTTAGTTTAATATCATTAATCTGATCATCTATATTTTCCATTATACTGTACAACGAATCTACTCTGGGTTTCAGATAATTTAGGATATCGTGTTTCTTCATGTTTTTTATGATTCACCCTTCTCATTATTTCTGAATTGTTGAATTTATCTATCGCTCTTCATTAAATTCATTCGACAGAATTGGAAAGAGTTAATCTTTACGTTATGTACATCCCACAGCAAAGCTAGTTAATGTAATACTTTCACTACATGTTGAAGACATTCATAAACACCAGTCGTTTTTCCAAAGATATCAATCAGTCCATTCCGACCATATTTCTCATCGAACTTATGAATCCGATTCGTTAGGAGGCTATCCTTTCCATATGAGGCCAGTTTACAATTAAGACACCAAATTAAAGCTATTTTCGCATTACTTTATGCTTATTAATTACTCTGTAATATCACGAATAATATTTTTTCAAACTTGGTTCATCACTTGTTTGGATTGTAAGTACACCATTTCTTAACATAGACTTTGTATATGTGAACCTTTTCTCAATCATGTATGATAGATAACCACTGATATATAGACTTTTTACCTCATTTCCTAACTTCATTTTTACAATTTTAGGAGTTATTGTATTTTTTATTATCAGCAATAGTATTAGCATTATCATTGTTACTACTATTACTGACGGTCCTAGTTACTTGTACCATTCAGTTCAGCCTTAAACTTTGGTATCGATTACCTTAATTCATTCTAGTTATAAATATTATAGCTCATCTTCCTTTGTTTTAGCTCCTCTCCTCATAACCTTGACCATTTTGCAATGGTTGGACTAGATTGTATGACTTACAAATCAATATTTTATTAATCGACTGCACAGTTGATCTCATCCACCATGATTTTTGGTTTGTCTATGAATAAAGGGTGGTGGAAGAACACCCTACTGTTTTTAAACCGCAAGCCTATTCTCACCTCTCTCGATCAAGTTAGTATTGTGATTGGTCGCATTTACTCCATGCACACAACGTGACATATTTTCCACTTATTTTATGTATGGACTTGGAAAAAATCAATATTGTCACTATTCTGACTCACTCATTTTTCTATTTTGTGTGGGTTGCAACTAATCTTTGATCGATATGTTGGGCATAATTGCTAATACACTCAACACCTCTGAAACACGATACGAATTTAGGCACACACAAATAAATTTACATGTTTCCACTCGTCATGTGTAAAGCCCATAAACTTTGTACTCACATAAGCACATTACAATGTGCCGTTAATTATGGTGAATTCGGGTCGATATTACCTGGTCGTAGTATGAAAGATTTTAATTTCCACGTGAGGGCGAAGTGTTTGAGGATCGTTAATAATTTTCCAGTGATTTATTTCTATTGGCTGAATATGTATCCAGACGTGTTATTTAGTTATAATGCAATAAAATCAATAGATCAACTTTATTGTGCTGTACTTGTATATTGTATTAATTATATTCGGTTTACACTTGGCTGAGCAGAATAGTGGTGGAGAGTAATTAACATTGATTATTTTATTTTTACTATCATATGAGGCCTCAGTTTACTTTTGCAGTTAGCTCATCAATTAAGTCAATAATAAATTAGCTAAGTTGACTTAGATCACCGGAAATCATCTTTCAGTTATATTTTTTATAACAATCTACCTTTAGTAAGTACGTCCATTTGCGTGTGTACTTCAAAGTGAGCTACATTCATTATATGAAAATGAGAACTACTGCTTAATTATCTGAATCCATTTGAGGGATACGTAGTTCGAGCCTACTGCTTGAAGAATCAGCAACACGTATTTGTGTCTCAGTATTTATTTTTATCGTATGTACACTTGTACCTTATGTTAAAATTAGATGTATGTAGGGATAGAGTACATCTCTTCACTATCATTATAAGAACAAATACACTTGACAAATTATGGTAACCTATATCAGTCGTTGTAAACAGTTTGATAAGAACTTGCCTCTACATTATCAGAATTTACAGTGTGACAATACATTCTACTTTGATAACTAGTTAGTCATCGGTAACTTTAATACATATTTGTTATATGTAACATGTAAGTAATTAATAAGCTGGTCGATTTTAGCTTCCTACTAATAGTTTGACCAGTCGACCAAGATCGTTAAGACATGCATTGAACATACTCGGTTAATACTTATCTTGAGAGCCCCATTCAGTAACTGAAGTAAGGAACCGGCAACCCTGATAGGAATAGGTTGCAACGAATCTGGAACGGCTTAAATTGAGACATAGCATCAGTCTATGGAGTCGACCAAATGACGTTAACCTCAGTAGAGCAGATTTTTTCAAATTAACATCACCTTTAAAGTTGTCTATCCCTTTACTTAAAAATTAATTGTTTCAACTTTTGTTATGTCCTTTGATCAACAACTAAACATATGTTCACGTTTCATACGCAATGCAAGTTCGCTATCTATGTAGGTTAAGCCTGCTATTAATTGCAATGAATTTTATATTATTCTGTAATCCTGTTTTGTGTAGGAAGTTGTTTTGGGATGTACATTAATTCCTTATTCATAATTTTTCCTCGGATAAACCTTTTTTTTTGTGTGAAGGCTCCTAGTTTAAGTTCACCTTAGTATGTATCTGCAACACTTACAGAAGTGAGAGCACAAAAATAAAACTCCACAGTAACCTCATATTTGATGCCTATCACGAACACAGTAGAATTTTTGTTTATTGGAATAACAGTTCATTTCCTTCTCACATGATCAATCGATATTGTCTGATTTAATTGTAACCAGCGCTCAGAAGTAGCCTATATGGGGGGGGGGTAAGTAGAAATATTTTCTCAATTCATATTTTGTTGAACAACAATTCTCTTCATTACTCTCATTTATCCTTCTGAATTTTCTATGCTGCTATACAAATTTCAGAATAGTTTCCGTTCTCATTTCAATAATCTATGAAAGAGTTTATTGTCAGCTCCAAAAAAATCCCAGAATCAATAAGTAGACTAATCAATAAATCTACAACATCATCTACTCAGCCTACACATACTGTTGGGGTATATATATATATATGTATATATATATATATATATATATATATATATATATATATCGAAATTCATGTTCAGGTCAATGATAAGTGATTAGTGTACAACACAAACGCACAAGGACAAAAACAAAAATACGCCATTATGATGAAATTAACGTTGAGAGAATAGTAATTGTATTGGGAATGTGCTCTCTTGTTTTGTTCAACTCTAGGTATAACGTCATCTACATACAGATATACATACATACATATATGTGTGTGTTTGTCTACAAATCTATTATAAGGAAATGTTTGCCTATCGGAGTCTAGGTTTTACTCAACCTAAGTAGGTAGAAAAAATTATTGATAGAACAATGAGAAGACGTAATTGGTCTGAAAAATACAGGGAATCTTGTGCCTAATGGTTGTAAATGTTGCATGTCTATACTATTTCTAGGCGAAAATTGCGTGGGATAACAAAAAAACGGTGCTGAAGCACCAGTCTCAAAATAGTTAAACGACAGCAATAATGGATATAAATACAGACGCAAAATATATTTATGACATACGTGTTACCGTTAGATATTTACCACACATCTCATGCATGCATACTCTTCCACCCACTTCAATTATAATTTTAATCATTACAGGCACCTGGCCATTATTATTGTGTGCACGTACGCATACATAGACACACACGGGTGCACAGGATACATATTTCCAAAAGACCATATAATATATATGTACACATACGTTGATGGAAATAAACTAGCTACTGCTTTCTTGTCCGCTTTTTTTTCGTACATTGATGTGTTATCGATGTGTGATCCTCCAAATGGTGAGATGAAGATGACAAATACAATAGTAGTAATGATAACATTATTTCATCCCACACAGCATGGTTTAAACAATAGGTAGGTACATATCAATGAATAGAAAAACATTGTCATTATGGCAAACACAACTATAGTGCTCAACGGTTTTTTTTCCTTGTCGAAAATAAAAAGCTTATAGACTTATTAAAAAATAAACTTCTAGTCATAAAGAAATATTCAGCTGACAAAAAAAGAACAGAATTCCTTTATTTCCTGTGTTTAATATTTTTTTGGCGTACACTGTCTGTGAGAGATGATGATTCCATAAGGTTGGCGATCAGTGTACACATGTATCTACAACTACACTTCTCATTCGGATTTTCTCCAAAAACGTTTGTAAATAAAGATAAAAATGATGATGAAGATGATAATCATACAATTGACTGTTATGTTTTCGTTCTTTAATGTTCATTCTAATGTTCGCTACTGTTTATTTCATTTGCTGCTATTCTCTCTCTCTCTCTGTCTCAACCTGTAATTGACTCAATTTACCAGGTGCAGATTTATGTACTTGGGTTCGAGACATATTCTGTATGCGTGTATGTCTGTGTGTAGACTAGTGAGTGATACTACTCAATCTGCCTAAATCCAATGTAAGCGGAGAGCGGTGGGTTTAAAATCTGAGAACTAGACACCTTAACTAACAATCAAACATTCAACTGCTGTAATTAAAATAGTTGATAACTTTATGGGTTGTTTTGTTTTCTTATTTATGATTATTGTTTCACTTGTTTCTGCTTTCAAATCTAAAGCATAGTTTTTTTTTATATGTGACAATATTTCCAATTGAAATGACACTCCACGTAGCTCTAGTTTCCTTGATGAAACCGAATACATCCGTCCTATTGAGAATGATTTAACTTTTCATATTTAGCATAAAGAATATTTTGAGAATATTTAAAACTT